ACATAGTGAATATTCCTGACCTATATTAACTAGCTTCCTTTTCAGATTAAGAAAACTATATAAGAAATGAAAATATCCCATTTTAGATAGAGCACATAAAAAACAGGAGAGCAATTGTCACAAAGAAATGGAAAATCATTTGTGGAAGGCAATCTGCATTCTCTTCAGACAAGGTTACTTAATAGAACATCTTTCTTCTAAAAACATGGCATTTACAAGGCTTTCATGGATTTACAAAATGAAATGTTAAGAAAATGAAAGGCCATAGATAACACATGAAAAAGAGCAGTAAATCAAAGGTAGTCATCTTACTAAGGTCAAAGCAAGATCCTTTATCTTGCAAAGATGGGTAGGTAATGTTCATATTAACGCTGAATAGGAAAAACTTCTCAGTGACTGAATAGCTTGGATTCCAAATTACAATAATCTTCACAGAGAAGTTCTACAGCTCTGTGAGATCATAAACCAACACTGTTAAAACACACACACAAGATTCCACACAGGTAGCATTTTATTTGATTGACTTGCATGTGTGCCCACTGTTTGTATACTCTAAATTCATGTCCTGGATACATGTTGGTGCCCTAATGCATAATGTGCAGCAGTTAAAACTCTATGTATGGCACATATACATTACTTATACATTTGCAATTATGTCTGGGAAACTGAAAACTCCTTGTGTACAGGAGTACACTTACATTTTCTGTGCCAGCAAAAGGTTTGTCTATTCATCCGCAGGAAGAAGCCTCAGTGTAGTCCTCTGTAGAACTTCTAAGGCTCTTCAGTTACCAAGCAAATCCAAAACTAACAGATGAAAGTACTTTCTAGATTAAATTTTAAGTGCCAGCTTCATAGACAAAAAAAAATTGCCTTGTTAGAATGAGTGGGGCTTTAAAACTTTCTGAAAAGATATTAGGTATCTATTGCAAGAGTGAGCAGAAAGTAGATCAGGATTTAATGGTAGATCACAGGGTGATTTACAGTCAAGGGTTTCTGAGTTCCAATTGTCTAGTAATAACCACAGCTAAAACCCCTTTCCTCCTTAATTAGGTTGTGGGGAAATGTTTCACTTTATGCAAAACAAAGCAGTGGATTTTTGCTTGAAAAGAATTCTGAATGCAGTTTTGTTACCTCTCACAAATTCCTGGACTGAACATGTGCAAAGAGACACCCTGCTGTTCCTTAATGTTTAGCTTAAGTCTGCCTGCCTCAGCATCTATTTTGCAGCTGGGACTAGCTGGTTAATACCTGGTTCTAGCAAAACACAGTAGGTCCCTGCAGCTTGATTTCATTTGCTTAACCTTGATCTATCTTATTGCTTGAGATCCTTTTCTAAAACAAATATAACAAGAATCAACTGAAAAGTCTTATTCTATCAAGTAGGCTGAGAATCTTCATGAGGAATGTGTAAAAAAATTTCCCCACTTTTTTTCTGTTAAAATTTCCTATTTCTAAAAATTCATTATTTCATAGAATTCATTAGTTATAATAAAAGGATGCCAATACTTGAGCAACTTCCAAATTTATAATTAATGTTTCTCAAGTAATTAAGATGTGAATGAGAGTACATATGTTTTAAAATAGGGAATAAAACAAATCAACAAATACACCTAACACTTCAAAGCAAAAATCAAGTTATGAGTTCACCTGACTAGCTGTGCAGGTCAAATCAAGCCCAAAAACATGATCCAGAAACCTTCAGCACAAAACTTAGTTTCTAAATATACTAATGCAGCAGAGACAACCACAAGCTTAACCTTATAATACTATCTCATAATCTCACAGTAATACAAGAGGCATTTATTGGGAGGCAACCTGTTCTTCAGCTCCTAGATTCCTGCAGCCCTGGAGGCTCAGACACCAACAGCAGGATAATAACTTAAGGAATGAATCTCCTGAAGACATGGAAAAAGTAGTGTTATGAGATAATGAATGAAACAGTTGCAAACATTACTGTTGTCCTTAGGGCAAGGACTTTGCCATAAGAGAATATTGAAGGAATCATTACTATTGTGCAGGAAGAAAGCAGGAAAAGTGAGACCCCAGCTCATAATTGACAAGCTGACAATCTACTTTTCCATACTTGACACCTCCTGTACCCCCTTGATCCTATCCTGTCTCAACTTCTGATTGCCATTGCTCTGTCATTATTGTTCCTCTGCCACATAATCAACCTATCAATCTCCGATGACTCACTGCTATGGTACTGTTTTCTTTATTGCAGTTTCCTATGAGTAGTACCCAGTTTTCCTTCTATCCTATGCCTCCACATTCCTAAGGTGTGTCATTTACTTCTCCTGTCTCAATCCTCCTCTAGGTTCAACCCCTAGAAAAAATAGTATTTTGAGGTGCATAGAAGGTAGACTATCACCAAAATAACTGACAATCACCTCACTGCCAAATTGCAAAGTACAGTGGTACCTCGACTCACGAACACCTGAGTTCACAACCAAATCGGGTTGCAAACAAACATTTAAAATTTTGACTCAGGTCGTAAACTCCGCATTTGATGGCGACCGCAATCGCAGCCATCGCCCCGCTGCCCACCCCGCCCCCCGGTAGGGAGATGACTGTGATCATGCTGGGTGCGGAGGGGAGATGGCCAAGATCATGCCCGTCTTTCCTGCACGGGCACAACCAAGATCCTTGCCATCTCCCCTCCAGCATGATCGCGCCCATCTCCCCCAACCAAGCTCGCCCACGATCGCACCCATCTCTCCCCGCCCCCAGCACACTTGTGCTTGGGGTGGGGGGGGGGAGAGATGGCCACGATCTTTGTTGTTCTTTGTCACTTTGCTTCACATTATTCTGATTAAAAAATAGTTACAGAACGGATTAACCTTATTTACATTGAACCTTATGGGGAAATTTAACTTGGCTCACGACCAATTTGGGTCACGATCAGAGTCCTGGAATGGATTAAGTTTGTGACCCAAGGTACCACTATAATGATCTCTTCCTTAGCTGTGTTCCTGCCTTCGATACAGTTAACTCTTCCCTTCTGAGTTCCTTCATGTTATAGGTTTTTTCTGGATGTTTTTACGTGTGTGTGTGTGTGTGTGTGTGTGTGTGTTATTGATGAATCAGCTCATCATATCCAATGGCTTTCACTAGCACCCATACATGAATGGCATCCAGACATTTCTCTGTCCAATTCCACACTTCCAATTACTTGTAAGATATTTCCAGTAGGATGTTGCATTGTTAGTGTATCCAAGACCAAACTTCTTAATCTTTTTAAGGTTTTATCTTCTTCGATATTCCCTGTAAGAATCAAAGGCACTACCATACACTATAATGAACAAGCAGAAAGCCTTGGATTTATCTTTGCTTCCTTCCTTGCACTGTCTGTTATCATCAAGTCACTTCTCCATGGATAACATTGCAGAGTAAGGCCCTTTCTCTTTAACTCTCCAGCCTTGCAGTGAAAACTTTACTGTAGTATAACCTTCCCCAAATTGGAGCTCACGAGTTCTGTTGAACTACAGCTTCTATAATCCCCAGTCACCATTAATATACTGGCTTGGGAAAATAGACATTATGTTCCAAAACATCTGTAGACCTCCAAGTTGGGGAAATCTGCTCTAACATTAACCTCTTTGGACTTCTACTGTCACATGTCTGACTGCCCTCCTCTATGCAAAACTCTACGGTCAAATCATTCATATCTCTTGTTGCTCAGGTCACAGAAGCCCCCTCTAAGTAACTATACTAGCTACTCAGTTTCATTTGTACTCAGTTTAAAAAGTGCTTACCTTCAAAGCCTTCTGTGACTTTGTCCCAGTTACCTTTATGCCCTCATTCCCTCACACAGATGTTTTGGCCTACAACTCCCTCCAGTCCTAGCCAGCATAGCCATGCCTGTCCTAATAAATCTCTACCCATTACCCCTTACTTCTAGTTTCCCTTGCTATGGCTCTCTGAATGTGTCCTGCTTCTTTAAATGACCCAGTCCTTTCTTTCTTATTGCCCCCTAAGCCTGGAACTCCCTCCCAGAATAGCTGCAGACTGCTGCATCTCTCATTTCATTCATGTCCTTCCTGAAAATCGATCCTTTTTGTAAAGCCTTTGGCACTACCCTTGAGATCTCATTCCCTGTTGAGAATAAGCCTCAATTAAAATCATATTGTCCCTTGTTTACTTTCCTCCAGTCCCTTTGTTGCTTCTCCATTAAAATCTAAGTTGTAATCTTTCCCCAAGGCAGGGAAGCAGCATACACATTGCAAAGTGTGAAGTGCCATGCTCCTGAAGGCACTGAATAAATCAAAGGAGCCAATGCTGGTATTTGACATTTCCATCACCCTACTAGCTATTAACACAAACAAGAAGGAAAAATGGGGAAATTAGAGCCTGCTATCACATCTCACATAACCTTTCCAGACAATCACTGTATGTGAAATTTATCCATTACATCCCTATACCACCCTCTTTTCTCTTCCAAAAGACAACATGTGATTCCCCCTCCTCTCCATTTTATCCTCACAACAGTCCTGGGAGGTAGCATAGGATGAGAATCGGCAATTGGCCCAGAGACACCAGGAGAGCTTCACAGCCAAATGGGGACTTGAGCCCAATACTTAATCCCAGCCCAACATTTCAATCACTGCACCTGGCAGGCGGGCGAAATGGAGAGAGGGAAACCTCCCTTGAAAACATCCTTTTAACCTCACCTCTTGGTATCTAATAATATTCTGATCGACAAGATCTTTCTTTTATTTTCCTTTGTCCTGCAATGCTTAGAGATGATTTTACGAAATGTTTAAAAAGTGACACATGCCTATTTGACGGCAGAAATTTAACTGCTCCCACTTTCTTGTCCCATAGATATTCATCACCGGGGAGGGGGCTTCCCCCGGGTTTGCAACTAATTAAATACTAGCGATCATATTAGTTCCACGCCACAAGGAGAATGTATTACTTCCCATCACCCTTTTTGCGTCTAAATATGCTCCCTAAAAGCCCAGATGGCCTCCGGAGGGGACTCTCCCCGCTTTACCTACCCGGGTCCGCGTGAGAGACTCTCGTACCTTCCCCGGACAGGCGCGCGGCGCCGCACCCCGCAACGGCAACCACCCCGACAGAAACGGCTTCGAGACCCGCCTTCCCGTTTGAATCGCCACAGCCCGGCGCCTTTGCCTGTTCTGATTGGCTCTGAGCTACTGGCACGAGGAACCGAGGATGACGACACCACCTCCGCGGCTTCACTAGTATCACCCCCCAGCGTTCCAGTTATTGGCTTCGGAACGGGACGCTCACAGCGCCTTCTTTGTCAAGGGCAGGCTGAACTTACGTCACACCATTTGCCCACACTTCCCAAGCCACTTGTAGGCTGTGTCATTTTACCTCCGGGCAACTCCCCTCCCTTTTCCCGATCAATTCGTACAAAACAGTAAAGTCGAAGAGAGCGGAACATGAAAGTAAAAGGCAAGCAAACACTTTCTTGTCAAGTGGAAGAAATTTCATTATATATGATTTGCTTCTAGTGGGCATTTTTGACAATGCTCATAAAGACAGACTAATGTGAAAGAAAAATAGTGGCATTGCCTTAGGGACGAGCAAAAGGCCTCTTTTTAATAGCTGTATTACAGTGGGGGAATTAACAGCACGTAGAAGTTATGTGTCATGCAAATGAACGATTCAAACGAAAACAACTCAGTAGAAACTCTTGTACGTTTAGAAATTCACAAGTGGGTAATAACGTTTCTTAGGACGAACCAAAATGTCAGGAAAAAATAAGCAAGTTTTCACGTTCTGCAGGTCAGGCTATATGTCAAGCAAAATGGGGTGGATAAGACAAGAAAAATGGCCTTATGATGAAGTCACAAAATCGGTATTTAGTTATACTGCTTCTACAGGTTTTAAATTTGTTTACCAAAGCTTCGAGATTCTTTACAGATCCTTCACATAGGAAGAGTTTCTTCCTTTTCCTTTCTATACATTTCGTTACCCAACCAGTAGGTAGTGTTGTGGTATAGCAGAACTGCACAAATAATCATGTCACCATTCCCAAAGAATATCAAACGTTTTCCCTTCTAAAACTCAAAACTCCACAAAATGCTTGCAAAGCACAGGAGAGGTCCTGGAGGAGGAGGATGTGTGTACTGCACCCATGAATGAGGATTCCAATAACTGCCTTGTATAGAGAAGTCCATTGTCCTCAGCTTGTTGTGCAACATCAAGGACACCCATTCATGTTCCAGACACCCCATCCCATTTCTCCTCCCACCTCGCTTGTGTTCTCCCAGCAAGTCCTCACCACCACCTTAAGGTAGTGAGGGGGTTTGAGGTTTTGAAAGCTGCTCTCTTAGTAGGGTCACCCAAGGCAGAATGGTCAAAGCTGAGACAGTAGACGAAGATGCACCCATCCTCTTCGGATTAATAGCCACATCAGCAGAAGAGAATGGATCTCTCCAATGGTGATATGGGCAGAGAAACTCCTGAAGGGCAGCTACTGGGTAGTTGAAGGTAACACTGGTAGAGAATCTCTCAAGAACAACAGCAGTGATGTTCAAACTAACTCTGGTTAGTACTATAGAGGAGGAGGCAATAGTAAACAACTTCTAAATATCATTGCCTTGAAAAAGCCATGATGAAGCAACCCAGAATGAAACAAGAAATAGTCCCAGAAGATTAGGCTCCTAGGCTGGAAGGCATTCAACCAGCTGCTGGGGAAGACCAAAGGACAAATACAAATAGGACTGTCACTAATGGTGCAGCTGGATCAAAGTGGAAAGGAAGTCTAAGGGCTGACGTGCACAGAGATGAAAGGAAAGTCCAGTGTTGCGCAACACACGCAATTGCAGCATGGACCACGAGGAGTATGAATCAAGGTAAACTGGAGACCATGAAGCAAGAAATAGAATGGTTAAACATTGCAGTACGTGGTGTGAGTGAATTAAAGTGGACCGGAATGGGACATTTTCAGCCAGACAGGCATGAAGTGTGTTACTCTGGGAATGACAAACTCAGAAGAAACGGAGAGGCTCTAATACTGAGGCAAAATGCATCAGGAATAGGCAAGTAAGAACCTATGATGGAAGACTGACAGAATCAGAATTCTTGAAAACCAATCAGCATGACCATCATTCAAGACTATGCTCCAGCAACAGATGCTGAAAAAAAAATTGAAAACTTTTATGCAAAGGTGAAAGAGGAAATAGATAACACACCAAAACAAGGCATGCTGATAATCTGGAGACTGGAATGCAAAAGTAGAAAACAAAGTACAATTCATTGTTGTGGGAGAATTTGGCCTAGGGATCAGGAACAAAGCAGGAAACTATCTCATAGACTATCACAGAGAAAGACAGACAGACAGACAGATTGCAATGGTCAGTTTAAAGAACAGAACAACAACAAAAGAAAAACAAGACCTTTCTTTCAGAAGATCCAAGAAATCAAAGGGAAATTCAAATCTATATTAGGAATGCTAAAAGATAAACAGGGAAGCACATTATCTGACCAGGAAAAAGAAAGGAAAGAGGGGAAAGAATATACAGAAATAGAGAAGGGATAAAGAAATGACAGACTCTTTTAAAAAGGAATACTATGAGAAGAACCTACAGTATTAGAAGGCAAGTAAAAGCTGCTCTGGAAGCACTTGGTAGGAAAAAAGCACTGGATTAGATAGAGAGAAGTATTACAAGTACAGAGACTGAATCAGTCTAATGTTGAAAGTTGGATGGGTGACTTAAATGTTGTGAACCACCCAGCAAACTTTGGCTATGGGCAGTATAGGATGGCAAATAAATAATAATAGTAGTAGTATTAATAATAAGAATGATGATGATAATTCCATCAAGAATTGCCAACAAATATGGAAAATAAAACAATGGCCCACACACTGGAAATGCAAATTCTAATCCCCAAGAAAGAAGTTGCTAAGGAGGGCAGCAACTACAAAGCCATTGCACTAATTTCCCATGCAAAGTGATGTGCAAGTTGTTGCAACACAGAATTTTACCACATATGGAGGGAGAAATGCCTGACATTCAAGCTGGATTCCAAAAATGAAAAGGCACTCAAGAGTATATCACAAATAGCCATTGGCTACTGGAATGCACCAAAGCATTTGGGAAGATCAGTCTAGGCTACAACAAAGTCATTGCGTGTGTGGACTATGAGAAGCTATGGAGTGTCTTGAAATAAATGGGTGTGTCTCTGCACTTGATTGTCTTGATGCATAATCTGCATTGGGCACAAGAAGCTACTGTTAGGACAGTATAAGGAGAAGCAGAATGGCTTCCTAAAGGCAATGGTGTCAGACAAAAGTGCATTTTATCTTTCTGACTGTATGGAGAACACATCATAAGGAAAACTGGTTTAGGATTAGAGGAAGAAAGAGTGAAAATTGGCAGAAGACACAACAGTAATTTAAAACACGCAGATGATATCATAATATTGGCAGAAAGAAGCAAAGAATTGAAATGACTTAATAAATGACTCCTAATAAAAGCAGAAGCAAAAACAAAAGAAGAATGTACAGAGGCAAGACTACAGTAAGAAAACAAACATCATGAGAACCAAAGAATTGCACAGCTTTGTCAAAAGTAAATAAATTAACATTTTGACAGATTTTGCTCAATTATCAATTCAAATGGAAATGACAGCCAAGAAATTAGAAGAAGACTGAGAATAGGAAGAGCAGCAATGAAAGAATAAGGGAAAGAATCAAGTGTACAGATGTTTCACAGACCCAGGCCAATATAACCACATTAATGTATTCACAATCACTTATTGATACGAACGCTGGACAGGGAAGAACACTGACCGGAAGAAAATGGATGCCTTTGAAAATTGATGCTGAGGAGAATTTTTGAACACCCTGGACTGAACAATTTTTGAACACCCTGGACTGATGCTGAGATGAACAAGTGGGTCCAAGATCAATCTTCTTGCTTCCAGGAAGACAAAACTGAAGCTGTTGTACTTTGTGTACATCATGGGAAGGCAAGACTCGATGAAGAAGAAAAACATGCTAGGGGGAGTTGAAGGCAGAGGAAGAAGAGGAAGACCAAATATGAGATGGATTAACTCTGTAATGGAAGCCTCAGTCTTGAGTTTAAAAGAGCTGAGCATGGCTGTCAAGGACAGGACATTTCGGAGGGCTCTCATTCATAGTGTTGCCATAAATTGGAGATGAGTTGATGGCATATATCGACAGCAAACTCATCACTGCCACTATGGGTGGTTGATTAAGATCTGCTTGTGTAATTTGTTCAGTCCCCACTCCCTTTTCCTGACTTAAATTGGCTTCTCATATATCTCTCTTCCATTCGTGTTCCAGCAAAAGGGGGGATTAAACTAAAGATTTCCTCAATTAAAAGGAAAAATATGGAGGAAAAATAATTTACTGTATTTTGAAATTTTAAAGTTTTAAATTAAAATAGGGAATTATTTAGACAGGAAAAGACCCACAATTCCCAGCTTGCCCCAGCCAGCTATGCTAAACTTGCACAGGCTTGCACATTAAGGTGCAAAGTTGTAATCCCATACATTTCTACTAAAAAGTAAGGACCACCAGTTTCAGTGAGGTTTATTCCCTGATAATTGAGTGTAATGTGGAAGCAACCTAAAGTTGCATTTAAAGCTTTTTCACAAAATGCTTGAAATGTGACACCCACTGTCGGCAATCAACGTTTGTCTTGTCACACACCAGCACTATCCTTATGTCCCCCCATTCTCATACCCACATGGATCTTTCAAGAAAGAAAGACTCAGGTTCCTTTCTGCAAGAAAAGTAGATCTGACAGCCTGTTACCATTCCCTACTGTTCACGGTAATGATCTAATCACAGTCCTACTGCTCAGCAACATTTTTGTCTCTAAAACTGCCTGCTTTAATCTTACTTCTTGTTCTGCCCATCTGCTTTCATTCACTTCTTAATCCAATGAAATGCCTGAACATTCTGGGTAGTTGTAAGTACAGTGCACAGTCCAGCCCCACCTCCAAACACATGTCCAGTCCCAAAGGATCCCAGCTTGCGTCATGGGTTAGCGTTTGCTGTGGATGTGCTTATGATGTCCCAGGTGCAGAATAAATATAGCTGGTGTT